CCAGTGTCCAGTGCATTGTTGGATCGGGGTGCGTGTATCGGGGTAAACGCTGCACAAGCTTCTCTTCGCTGACCGAATGTTGCCGGTGCATACCATACCTTCATTGGGTGCGTGTCGTTTGTGAGCGAGCTCCATCCGAAGCTCTTTGACTTGTCCATCTTGTCTGCAACGGTGTCTTCATCCGGATCTGAAACAGCAGCTCGACGACGTTCGCCATGCTGGCGAAACACAGCTTCGTTCTGTAACCTGCCAAGCGTCCGCGTCGACGAATATCATGATGTTTTGCGTTTTCGGTGACAAGAGTGACATTCCATTCCCGATCCAGATCGGACGGACCGGCTCGGCGCGGTACGGCCACCGCCACAGGGCTGCAGAGACGACAATAAGGGTCCCTGAGCTGACGGATATCGGAGAGTTGCCGGCCTAGTCTTGGCAAATGGATTGCTCCACTGTCTGTCTCCGGGCATCGCTTATTATTCGCGAGAAAGTCGACAATGTCCCGTTCCGATTTGACCAGCCGGCCGAGGCGCGGTTACGGAGCGCCGAAGGCAGATATTTTTCGGGCCTCTGCATCTTGTTCCAATAATTCGAAAGAAGTGAATAAACAACCTCAAGATCTGATCATCTGCAGTCGGTATGTTTCGGGACAAGCCGAGACGGACACTCAGACATCTCCATCCAAATACATTTCCGGTCGATACACATGCTGGATTGGATAGTATTCGTCATCGTGACAATTGGCAAGAAGGCCCAAATCCTCCTGATACAGACCCGCGTCGTAGCGATAGATGCTTTCTGTGCAGCAGTCGACATTGCTCCTAACCATCTGTAGGCCGTGAAAGGGGAGGGAAACCGCCGCGCTGCCAACCCTGACCCGCCTCAGACGACGGCAGCCATTTCTCTTTTCTTTTTTTTTCTTTTTTTTTCTCGTTTGGGAAGATGGTGCCATGTAGCCTGCGGCGCGGCGGCAGGTGTGCGCATCGCACGTCAGCACGCCGGCAGCATGCTAAGTGAGCTGGTACCAATGCCGAGAGATCAAATTGACCAGCCGGATGTCGACAAACAGCCTGTTCGTCGGTGTCATACAGAATGCCCCATCCCGTTGCTGCAAGCACACGACACTCCGGAATCTATGACCGTCGGAGAATCGGCGAGTGGTTGGTAATTTGTACCTTGCTGCTATGCTAGCATGGCATCGGCCTCCTCCCGGTTCTCGCCAGCTACGTGGAGCCCGATATGCATGAGACACGGAAATAGTATCGGCGGGCACAACCGGCCGCTTCACCATCATCACCGACGCGTGTCCCTTGAACAAAAAGGGTTGGATTATAGCGAATCCCTGAACTCAACAGGGGGTCTTTGGGCCTTCTGTTAATCACCTTTTGTTCGAAGGTTGCAGAGTTACAGGTCAACTTTCAGTTCCGGAAGGAAGCCGGATGTACTGCGTGGCGTGGATGTCTATTTTCAGACATTCAAAACCTGGTTAGGCGTTTGTAACTGGCGCCCCTTTCATCGATGATATCCAGAAGGCCAGATATCGAGAAATTTGAAGTTTCGGCCGCTTTCCATGTTCGAAGAACCCGGACTATAAGTTGGCGTTGAGGGCTGTCAATTGTCAGACTTCGAGAGCTTCACAAGTCCGACAACTTGGGCTCCGGTCCGAACATCCTTGGTTCCGTTGGTTGGCGAAAAACGGTGTTGTGTTCCGTACGGGAGGAAAGTGTTTTGTTGGTCCCCAGCCTGAGCGGGGATTACGAGTGCCATAGAAGTACTTCCATAGTATATGCTGTAATGAAACTGTCAAACGTTAGGCCTGTTTGGTGCGTGTCTTCCTACTGCCCGCAGACAGAGTATTTGTGGTACCATACAATTGATGATACAATCTCGGAAAGTGATCTGTGCCATTGAGAATCTTTCGTTGGCGGCCAGATTGCCCCAGCATTGGTTACTGAGGGCCGTAAAGTGAGCTCGAGTTGTGCTGCACGGTGTGCCCTATCCCCATCCTCCACAATGTTTGTACCAGTAGATGGCCGCCAAGAGGGACGTGCCAGCGTCTGATAACGCTGTTCACGCTGCTTGTCATGTATGCAATCTCGATCGAAGGCCAAGTCGTGTCGTTATCGATCTTTCTTCTTCTTCGTAGAGATCGTAATACTAGTGACAGTTGGTCGAGCTGGTGCCAGCCACTAATAATTCGATTGAAACCTCAGCGTTAATCCTGTCCATCCCAAACTGGATCATGGTAGCCCGGGAGGGGGGCACAGCTAGGTAGTCTGAAAAACGCAGTGTGCTCGTGGTTGGCGCGGGCGGGCAGACTGGACTCCTCCTGCCTTTGGCGTCATGAATTGAGGTTGCCTCCTATCATTACTGATATCTGACTCGACCACTTCGTCCATAGTTAGCCACGAGACTACAGCATGCCTTGAATAAACGAAGAGCAGGCATACCTCAACGGTTCGTAAATGCCTTTACAGCTCGATGTTGTGACTCGGCCAGCTTCTCCGTACCCAAACCGGCAGTCGAGCCAGGGTCGGGACCTTGCATCAAGAATCCTCCTAGCCATCATATGCCCCATAGGCATTGGACCAAAGTATTGACCATACCTTGTTTTCCCTTCCCTCTTGCGCTTCATACTACATGACCCTTTCGCTTTGGCAGGCGCAGGACGGGAGGTTTCACCGAGTTCAACATGCAAAGGAAGTGCCACTCAGGGACGTAACACCCTATCCCGTCTGTTTGTTCTTGGCGCAACCTAATGGGCAGGGAAAGTGGTTAGCATGCATGCAACATCGCTGAACGACCTAGCAATGTGCTGCGAATGCAAGATAGGCGACTTTGCGGTTAGTTTTGCGGATTGTGTCATGCTCGAACAAGATGTACCTGCATGGGCCGGCAACATTCATCGCTCCCATCTGGCTTTTGACTTGCTTTGCAATATGGAGGAACATTTGTGTCGTTAGAGGGATAAGGAAGCAGACGGTAAAAACCGGCACCGCGTTGAAATTTTAGGCACCATCGCTTCGTTCGTCTTGCTCTCCAACATACCGTCCGTGCGCAAGACTTTGGACAGAGGTTGGGCAAGCTGGTTGACGGTTGGTTGTGTCTCGGTGTGCGGTTGTAGTGTACCTGGGTACCACTCCACGATAGTCTTGGGACACTGGGGAAACCGTTATAAACAGGATCCTTGGAAGGTCGAGGCTTATGTCCGCCCGAGTTACCCTGGCTCGCCTAGCTGATGAGCCCGCACTTCTCGAAGGATAATCCTGAAACCGTGACATCGTCAGGACAAGCCACCTCGTTCTATTGCCGGGACCCTTTCTTTTGGGGTCTCCAGGATCCATGAACGCTGCAATACGCACCATGTTCCACGGAACGTTGGTGCAACCGTCAATTCCACCTGGGTTGGCTCGCCGGTTTCCGTCGTTCCAGTATGCGTTGGGATTCATGGTCCTATTCATCAAGCCGAAGCCGAAAGCTTTGTTGGAAGTTAGCATGATAGGTATTCTTTCATCTTGTTCTCGCTCCTCATCTTGAGGCTCGACCCGATCCGCCGTTCAGGGTCGATCTATTAGCGGTTTGGCGTAGTTCTTACGTAGCTAGTGGTTACAACCCCCGGCATAGCACGGAGCTACCCCGTCCTAATCAGCACGAGCCATGCGCGCCGAGAACGCTGTTTTACTGGGACACTGGCAATTACCGGCACACCCTGCGCTCTGGATCCACATTGCCGAAGCACCCTCAGGCTGTCCTTTTGCAGGCTCACTTTGATGTATATCACGGGCGAAATGCTGACGAAACGAGCATATCGAAGTGTACACCATGACCGTCAAACAAAGCTCGTCGAAAATGAAAGAGAGGTTATGTCTGCGAAGAAGTTGCCGCAAAGAAACAAGTGACGAGCTTTGAGGGCACCGTTCGGGTCGCGAGAAAATCGGTTGAGCATCGAGAACAGGTACACTGTGTGCGAAGCTAGATGGTGTGGAGAGTATCGGAGCGAATCGATCGTCGATGGAAGCCCATGATGGACCAATGCTTGGTCGGATGTGAGCCAAAATAGTATCTTGAGCACATCCAAGGTCGGAATGGATGGTTTCCGGATCTCCGCCGTCATCTGGGTTCTTTCACACACGGTTTCGTGAGCAACGGACGGTTGCAGAATGTTGGACTGACGAATTTTCAGGCTGAGCCCTGTCGGTGAACAGTAAATCAGGAGTGTGTCGAGCTCGGTATGGCCCGAGCCGTGTTGCCGTGACACTTGTTCCGGAATCGGCTGAAGGGTCACCGCCAGGATTGGTATGTACACCGCAGTCAGGGGAGCACCTGGGTGGAGGGCCTACGTGTAGCAGCCTTACCCTGTGAATGCTGTGCTATCACAATCCAGTGTCGTCCATATTTTCTTGTACGGCTAAGTAGTAATCAGGTATTTGCCTGCTCGCTGACAGTGGTAGTGGACCACGAACACGACTCCGCATGTCCGCTCAAGCTATTTTTCGCCGTTGTTTCGTATAGGCACCGGACAAAACAGCTGGGCTGTCAATGGCTCGTCACCAATTACATATGCTGCAGCTGGCCTTGCTGCTGGCCTCGTAAGGAATTCGCAGCTGTATTGTATAACGAGGACCACGTCCACTGTCTATTCAAAGTCAGGTACCTACATGTTCACGGCAGGCTAGGGTGGCCTGGGGGTGGCCCCTGAACAGCAAACTGGACGCTGTCTGTGTCAAAGTCCACTCACCTCGCTTGCTGTAGGGCCTACCTTGTTAGGTCTTGCTCGACCGTAAGCCCTATTGCAAGGACCTCCATGTCTCTATGCCTGGGGGGAAAATATGATTTCAGGCAGCATCATGAGAGCTGATTCGCGGACTGCAAGACGCGCACAGTACAGCGCTATCGCGGAGGACACTGGGGCCTGGGCTTAAGCCATTACGTTCTCGCTGTTGCCGAACAGCAGCTTGTGGTGCGAATGTTGAGATGGAATAGACTAGTATAGATAGCAAAGATCAAAGATTGGGAAGAATAGGGGATATATCATTGGCCCAGATGAGAGGACGTGCTCCAGCCATATCCGGCAAGACAGACACTCCAGACCGCAGAGTCCAGTCCAAGGAGGGGGGCCTTTGGAGAGCGGACGAAGGCCCAAGACTGGACTGCTCCTGATATGCGGATGGCGGGAGACGTTGTTGACATTTAGATTGAGGTGGTATTTGGTGGTAGTTGGTGTGAGCGGCAGCCAATTCCACGCCTGGGGCGGGGATTGAGTTCTGACCTGACTTGCCACCAGGCTCGGCGCCTTCATCTTGCAGCATCGCCGCCCGTTGCCGTTGGGGTCCTGGACGGGAACTTAAGCGTGGGTGGGTGTGTGGCCGTCCGTATCTCGATGGTTGCCGTCCATGACCGCGCAACCTGGAACCGCTGTCTGTGATGTCTGCATGTGAATGTCCAAGATGTCTTGCGACTGGCCGAATGGCAGATAAATGTCGTAGGAGGTACTACCTAATGAACGCTTTCGGTGATGCAGAGAGGTGCAGTGCTAGGTAGAGTGGCAGAACCGCGAAAATGGAAGTGGTGAGGGTTGTGCGAATGAGACCATTGCGCTTGCACAATCTACAATCTCTGAAGGCAGGCAGTGTGCGGTGGGTTCCGTTTCTCTTGTAGGTTAGTTCGTTGTGGTCAGTTTCAATCCAAGCCCAGTTTGAGTACTTACTTCTACTGGACTAAGTAGGTACCTCTATCTAGTACTACAGTTGACCTGCACTTCAAAGTTTGAGTACTACACGCACGCCCCTCCTCCTACCGTTTTGAAATAGCCCGTGCCACCCCGACCTTGGCACTTACTCGAGATAGAGTGGCACAAAAAAATCGGGGGAGAAAATGAGTGAGAGGACGCATTAATGAGCTCTCTAAACTCTCTTTCCCCGGGTCAAAGCATGGACAAGGCTACCTTTCCTTCTCTGGACCAGGCCGCTTGAATTTGAAATTCGACGATCAATCACAGTGTCACGCTATGTACACAAAGGGCTTACCTGATATGTAACGGAGCGCCTGGAGCTCTGCAATGAATACTTCATGACTGCGTGTTGTCCCGGCTCGCAGGTTTGCAGTTTGTTACGCCGTCGACAACTCGCCGTTCTGGCCGCAGATTCGTTCGAGTCCACCCATGCTAGTCCAGAACGGGAGACTGGCTGGGGAAGGAGTTAGGTAACGACTCCACCAAACCAAAAGTTTTAGACTTTGAAGACCGAAGCAGCAGCGATGAGCAGAAACAGACAGATCAAAATGCTGGTCCTTCGAAGGAAGGTCCAGGTGCCCTTTTTGTTGCACGCACGGAGTCATCTGTCAATGCAGCGTTCACTGTTGCAACCGACTGAGAGAAATTCCACTCTGGGTCGCCATTTTTGCAGCGTACTAACCCTCCCTCCCACTCACATTGAACCATGGATGGATGGATGCGTCCAATCTGTGCCGCCGCAATTCGCACACTCACTCTCGACACAACGCAAGCCAGTGTGTACTTGGTCGAGCTACTGCTCTGCACTGCAGGTACCTACAACACTAGGTCCAGTACAGCAAAGAGTATCCATCTTCCTACCTCTAGGTATTCCACTCTCTTTCCCTGGCCCTGTCCACCCGTGGGGCTTTTTGGCTCTTGCCCTGTCAGTTTTCCTCCGACTCGGCTACTACTACCTTCCGATTCTTCTCTCTTTCCACTTTCCCTCAATATGCAAATTCATTGTCGAAAGAACTTCCTTGTCTCTCTGGCTGGTTATTCCCACCTATTTTGCGCTGGCACCATGGTCGTATCGGCCACTTGCAGTGCCCCCTCATCATTCGTCCATCATGCCCCAACTTATCCATTGCCTATTTCCACTCTTGTCTTCCTCCCCCATGCCGCGGTTCTGGGGGTCCGTCCAGGACCAGCCAGAGTCTAGACTAAAGTCACATCCAATTCATCCCATCCACCCCATGTTCGTGCTGTGCATGATGGAACCGTCGACCTCTCAAAGCATGTAGATGGAGTCGAGAGCTGCATCCCCTCTGGGTCTGCTCGAGACCGAAGTCTCCAACGCGCGTCGTTGATTCCCCTCTAGCTCCCGTCTCCCGTCTCCCGTTGTGGGATGTGTCCTATCTTGTCTCCTTTCGTCTTCTGCAGCTTCGTTGTTTGTCTCTTCTTATATATCTCTGGTCCCCGTCCCCCCCTCCTCCGCGTCTGGACCCCGACCTTCTGAACTTCTCTTACAGTTCTAGTCTACTTCTTTCTTCTCATTGTCTTGGACAGACCAATTGGTTTCGTCAATGACCTTGCTGCTTTAGCCTCTTCCATCTTCCCATCATCAAACGCTTAGTTTAGGGGTCCTCCTGGAAGTCAAGCATTGAGTTGTCTGTCTTAACGAGCTATCCCCCCTTCTCAACGTTTGTTGTCGTTCGCTATCCCACCCACCCTTCGCTCGAGAACGGCAAACCTCTATCCCCCGGTGGTGACGAGTTCGCCCTATCCAAACTCCGACAAGTTCGACCTGTTGACCTTTCGACCGGGAAACCAAGCTTGCCGGCAACCTGTCCCGGAGGACTGGAAAGAATCAGAGAAACCTCCTAGCTCCAACCTACATTTTCGCCCCATCGTCCCCTTTTCCAATTCAGCAACTCCCGCCTTCGGTCTTGCTTTTTCTTCGGATCCTTCATTCTAGTCTCATATTTCGGACGTCAACAACAGATTGTTCACTTGTCTGCTCCCATCTGTTCTGGACATCTCTTCCCGATTACACAGGCTGTGCTATCTTCGGGCTGGGTTCCTTGAGTAGAGCAGATCCAGTGCGCGTTTGGTTTATCCCTGATCGGGCATTGATTTTTCAGCATGGCTGAGTTAATGGGTTTTATAATACCAAACTTGGACTTTATATGGTCCGCCAAATTCTGGTTCTATTTCCATATTGTTATATGGTATGCTTGACTTGTGCAATTCCGATCCCACCCAAATCTACGCCTTCGCGCGTGCTAACCGCTTCACTCAGGCTTCATCGCTATGTGCGTCTTCTAGTCCACTGTGTCAGCCACTGGACCTACAAGTCCGTGCAGCCGAAAAAAGACCCCAAGTTCACCTCGGCAGATGTCACTGTCGTTATTCCCACAATCCACAATCAATTCGAGGAACTGCGGACCTCGCTTGAAAGCATCCTAGCATGCAAGCCCGCCAAGCTCATACTCGTAACCACGTGGAACAAGTATGAAGCGCTCACAGCAATGGCGGCCACGCTGAGGAAGCCGGCGTGCGACCACCCCATAAAAATCGAAGTCCTCCATGTGGACAAGGCAAACAAAAGACTGCAGGTGTGCAAGGCGTTGGAGGATAACCATGTCGAAACCGAAATCACGGTCATGGCTGACGATGATGTCGAGTGGCCATCGACACTGATGCCGTGGCTCCTTGCCCCATTTGAGGACGATCAAATCGGCGGAGTCGGTACCTGCCAGCGGGTGAAGCGCATCGATGGCGACCTCACAACCCGCATCTTCAACTGGCTTGGGGCGGCGTATATTGAGCGCCGCAACTTTGAGATATCAGCCACCCACAACATCGACGGCGGTACTTCTTGCATGTCTGGCCGTACCGGTGCCTATCGCTCGAGGATTCTCAAGGGCTATCCGTTCCTTAGTGGCTTCAAGAGCGAGAAATGGGGCAAGTACATCCTCAACGCTGATGACGACAACTATGTTACTCGCTGGTTGGTCGCGCACCAGTGGAAGACCTGGATCCAGTATGAGCCCGAGTGTGAGATCGAGACGACGTTGGAAACCAGCGTCAAGTTCCTGTATCAGTGTTCCCGCTGGGCGAGAAGCAACTGGAGAAGCAACTGGACCAGTCTTGTGCACGAGAGACACGTGCTTACGTGAGTTGAGCCGCTCCCAACCGAACCCTAGCAATACCCTTTTAGGTCACTGTGCACGGCACGACTTGTGTTGTGCGCACCACCACTTTTATTACCCCTGCCCCCATTCTCGACCTTGTTCCCCACCTGCAATAGGCGCCCGTATCCACCCATAATCCCTGTTCCTCCTCGTTAACACTCTTCAATAAACAGTCAACAACCATGGTGCACTTACGCTCTCCACATCGCAACTTTTACGTCCTTGGCCTTTGTTGTCGACCCGCTCCTGCTCTGTTCATGCTGGTGGGCCACCGAGGGCTGGGATGTCAACGACCGGTACACTCTTTTGGCGGCCGAGATCGTCTTCATGTTTGGCTTCACCAAGGTCGTCAAGCTGGTTGGACTCTTCCGCAAGAACCCACGAGACCTTATCTATTTGCCTGTTTCGATTCTCTTTGGATATTTTCATGGCCTCATCAAATTATACGCTCTTTTTACACTCAAACATGTAAGTTATTCCGAAATGTCGGCATACATTAGCGATAGACAAAACTAACTGAAGACGCCTCACAGACTTCATGGGGAAGCCGCGCCGATGGTGATGAGCACAATACGTTCCGTCTGCAAGAGAAGCCTCCTCGCAGTCAGACCATGTTGACACCATCCGGACCAGGCTTGGATGACTTATCTGAGAAGCCTTTAAGAGGTTCTCGAAAGACCGGCGGTGTCACGCAGAGTCGACGCCTGACTACCACCGGCACCGCAGTCTCACACAACACCTGTGAGCACACCGACGGCGGAACTGCGGCTGTACCCACGGACCTTTCACCCCCATCTTTGCAAGGTTAACGGTACTGGCTTGCTGCTGCTTCCAATGCTGTACCTGTGCGTATGGCTAAGAGCAACAGCAGCCGCCGATTCAGGCGGTAGACCATTGGGGGGCCTTGGTCCGGGCAGCAATTGAGTCGCCTGGCAGATTTATGCAGAATACGAATTCAATGATGAATGACGAGAATGAATATCGTGTTTTCTCTGTGAAGCCGTCGGGGGAGGGGCAGGGTGGAAGTTGTGGAGGGCAATGCTTCTGGCAGAACAAGATGCATTGGTCAGCCCCTGTCCAGCGGTTTCAGAGTTGGTTGCTGGCGCTTTTTAAAACCTGGAATACGGTTATACACAAAAGCATTTGGGTTTGCTGGGAGCTTTTGACTCCCTTCTCGGTTTCTGTTTGGCAGGCATGCGGAGGCGGGGACTGATTGGGAATATGAGCGACCAGAACTCACAGCATTGGGTGAGACGGTTCTGGGAATGAGTGTGCATGTTATTTTGGCTTTCTTGTTTTTCCCATTTCATCTCTTTACGTTCATTATGGGATATAGACGGACACCCTGGGAGGGGTCGCTTGTTTTTGGTTCATCTCGTCTACGCCTCGACACAAGGAGGTTAGACGAGGAAGTGTGTTTTGCAGGATTCATAATAATTTTCTGAGCTCTCGAGAGTTGAGCGGCAGAGGCATGAGGAGATTGGGGTGTAGAACAGACTCCACGATTAGATTTGGATAGAACGACGGGGAAGCTCCCACAACAGCGATATCTGATTTTATACACAACCCGAGACATCACCTCGATGGAAGCTATCTCCCCATCCATGCCACCGTACTTTATCCAGGTGAGGCGTCACAAAGCTGTGCCGATCACGAGCTGGGAGAAGTCGATTTGATGGCCAATCAAATGCTAGAAAGCTTCCTAATCGGGACATGAGATGAAATGCACGAGGTACCAGATACGGATACAAGGCCCAACCGACCACCACGTAGTAAGATACATGTCGTGTCGGTAGAAGACCGTTTGGCCTGGGCTCGGAACCTGCTGGCCAGGGCTGGGCCTCATCATGTCACACAACAGGTCTACTGCAAGCCATCATGCTTCAAAACAAAAGGAATAGGGGGCGCTCAACCAACGGGGTGTGTTACATGGCATGGTTGACAGGGCTGCAAGGGGAAATGTCAACAAGCAGAGTGTCGAGATCACGCTCCATGAAAGCCATTCCCTTTTTGGCTGATGTTTTAGTCAAGCTTTGATTTTGATCAGTCGATTCCGAGCCTGATAAAGCGACTGTGTGCGATTCCAAACGGTCCATGTGGAGTCATATCCCATGGCTTGGCTCTCATAGCCCCGGCCAAGACCTCCAAGCTTGGCATCAAACCACCACTGAAGTCCTCACCAAATGTTATCCTCTTGAACCACGATAACGAGAGTCCAGAACCACCTTTTTCGAAGCGCTCATTTCACTTTTATACCCGATGGCCTCTCACCGGCCCCGTGTACCCCCGGAACTAGTGTACATAATCTAACACCTTACCCTAACCACTAACTGGGTTGCCAGAGGTGACATGGACCTTGGCTCCACACAGGCCGTTTGGAATCGTACACAGTCGCTTTATCCGGCTCGGTCGATTCAGGTGACGTGATGGTCGTGTAAGTAGGCTGGGGTATCCTAGCCACGTATCCGTTTCCAGGGATGGTCGTCAATGGTGCAAAACCCCTCATTATTAGTCTGCCTGCTGTGATGTTATGGCATAATCGAGTAGATATGATTGGTGGTGTAAACAGCATATGAATACTAGAATAAAGTGTTGGGTGTTGGAAATCAGCAATTGGGTCCAAGCTGGGATGGACCATCAATCCGAATCTCAAAATTTGGAGAAATTACCCAGGAAGAACGGCAAGCCAGACGGGCACACGATTTATACACTGCATGCGGACGTCCCCATCTTATCTGCTCTATGTAATCGCCCCGCTGGACCCGGAGTTCATCCAAGATCGTCCGGCTTTTGTTTAGTTCCCCTGCCCTGGCAAATCTTTTGCCTTTGGCCCTGGTCCCGTCCCCGTCCCCGGCCCTACCATCACTACATATCCGCAGCCCCCCTCACCCCCGAAGGGGGCCAGGACCTCTTTATGTTTGGTCGAATCAAGATTGCCGGCATGCTAGCCCAGCCCCTCCTCCTCCCCCCTCCCCCCCCTCTTTCTTTTTAGGTCCCTGTGTTTCCGGATGAAGTGACAAGAGTCCCTTGACTTGACATTTTTATGACTTGGACACCGGCATCTTGCAGTGACATCCATTGCAGCGCAGCTACAGGACATTTTAGTTACAACACCTACGAGCAGGTGGGCGGGATCGGCTGCCCCGCAAAGAAGCAGAATTTAATTATCACGAGAACGGCTTGACAATCGGCGTCAAGCAAGCCAGCCGAAAGCGGCTGGGCCATCTTGCGTTTATAGCCGCTGTGAAGCATGACGTGCATGTCCTTCCCGTCATGGGGCCTCGGCCGTAGCTTCGTTAATGGTGGCTTTCAGAAGAGTCTTCCAAACGAAGTCATGCCTACATAGTCACAAACATAACGCGGACACTGATATTGACCTCCCATCTCTTGTATGATTATATTTGAAAGCAGGTAACCTCACTGCACTGTTGAAGGATTTCAGTCAACAGACAAAAATGGAACTGAATGGACAGACGTTGCAGTCTGTTCGGGCCGAGCTGCAGGCACTGCCTGCCTCTGCTGTCTGCTGTCTTCTGCCTGTTTTGTTCTATCCAAAATACCACCGAAGATAGGTAGGTACCTACCTAATCTCCAAGGACTCGGATGATTGCAGCCGTAGCAGGTGAGTAGGTACGGTAGGTACCTGTCTACACTACAGAGACAGCGAGTCCATACAGCGAGGTACATACATCATGGCTACAGTACCTCAAAAGCTGAAGGCAAGTCCAGTCCGCGACCTCAAGTCTTGGCGTTGTTGACCTTGCAACTTTCCTTTTCTCACTCGTCCTTTCCACAATAGCATCGATCAATGAGACATGACCATTGCACGCTTTTTAACTAAGCTTAGATACCTTTCCACTCGCAAAAGTCTCTTGGAGATAGCAAGGATCGGATGGGCAGGTACAGCATGTACTAATATGCTCAGTGGCGGGTGAAACGTTTTGCCTTGGATGCCTTGCCTTCCACTTCTCTGATCACAACTTGCAATTCGAGTTGCTTCAATTTCAAGCCCACACAAGGCAACCCCCGCGGCACGACCTCGAGAAAAATCCTTTCCACCGAATCACCATGGCTGGTTCAAGCTTGCATCCGTACAGTGTTCCCCTTCTCCGTCCATATCTCGGCCATAGGGGTGTTGAAGATTGACCTCGCTAACCGTTTGCTCCTAGCAGGAACCTTCCTCCTTCCTATTCGGCTTTTTACCCCAACGCACTGTTTCGGCTGTTCGGTTACCGCTCCCAGATGTGAGCCTCCAGGCGACGTGTACACAGTAATCACAAAAACAAACTCGGCCCCCGCAGGGCGCCTCCCCACCCAACCCACGACAGCAACAAGCATCCGAGAAATGCGTCCACTACAGCTCGAGCCTATCTTTTCGACAGCAAATATCATGATACTCGATCCAGACAACGTTCCCTTTGCTGAGCACAATTACGTCGCTGAAGCTTGACCTTCGGTAAAGTTTGAAAATCGTTGTGCCTTGGCTTACCTGCCTGCCCAGTCAGGCTAAATGTGAGCGCTAGATCGCGTCAATAGGGCGTGGGGTGTTACATCGCCCCTAGAACAGCTAGATTATCCCGGCAAGTCCAGACACGGGGCATATCTTTCGCTAATGCGCTGTACATACAGCAACTGTTTCTAGGTGACATTGGGTGCCGGAAACTAATAACGTCTCTGGGTACCCTTCCATTTCGGGGCCTTTGCCAAAATGTAGCCCTTCTGCTGAGGATATTGGCTTCTCTAGGCCTCTTACGGACTTCAACGACGAACGAAGCCACTCAATTGCAAAGCTCGAGCGCTCAGACCCCGGCCCCACCTACCTCTTCATCCACAAGACGCTTAACCCTTTTCTCTTGGACCTGCGTCTCCCAACAGCGACTTCGTACAAGTAGTGGTGATGGTTGGCGGGGTGGTTTGCAGGGTTCGGAAGTCGCATTCGGCGCACACAAAAACGGACCCCTAGGCGTGCCTCCATGTTGAGGAGCATTTACGGTGGGGCTCATTTCACATTCGACAACGAAGTTCCCGGATGTCGTTTCCAGGGCCTGGACCACAGCATTCCGGTTTCGATCAACGCCGCAACCCAACAATCTGACAAGCCGGGTCTGTCAAACTTGGCGCTGTCGAGCGGCGCTTAGAAAAAAAAGAAAAAGAAAAAAAAAAGACTAACGTCTCGGGAAGGCCACATGAGATCGAGGTCAGCACCCAAGAATCCCCAGCCACTCATGGCGCGTCTAGGTTTGGGCCTCAAGTCTCAACTCTTCGGAGCAGTGTGATGAAAGTGGTGCACCAGCGGGGAACTGGGGCAGGAATGACAAGAAAAAAGTGAGGGCATGCGACAAAAAAAAAGCTGTGGAGAAGATGCCAGACAAGATTACTACACTAGTACTATCGTACCTAGGTGAGTTCAAAGTTGAAGGACAAACTCGAGTTCTGCTGTTTTTTCCTCTCCGTTTTAGGTGGAGATCGACTCCGTCTGCTGCTCTCGGGATCCATCGAAACCAAGCTTTCCCAGAATGCGGCGCCACCACCATTGTGATTTGTTTTGAAGATTCGTTCGCCATCCTCGCGCCACGCACAGCATCAACTAGTTCATGTCTTACATGTATGTATGTATGGGCATCACCAAAACAGGGACTATGCGACGTCGAATCCATCGTGGGTTTCATTCGAGATGGCGCCTCGCATATGGAGCTTTAGGAGAGCAACGTTCCGGCGAAGCTGTCCATGACGGTGCTGTCGCGAGCGCTGTGTGCGGTTGTACCTGCGACTACAAACATTACATTCTATTTGTTACAGCTTCATCATCGGAAGGCTTTACAACGGCAGCTCCATGTTATGTGAGGGTCCGTTAGGGCGCCGCATACATTTATATCGAAAGCTGACAGGGGAGACGTTGCTTGACGTTGCCTGACGACAGTTGCTGCTTGTCAATAACAAAAACCATATTAACCTTGACTAATCGTTTATGGCAGTGTACGAAAATGAGGGGAAATGCCCCAACGCAAAAGAAAACAAACCGGAAGCGAGAAGAAGCGGTTACCATCGTTTACGACATTTGGGCATGTTGTGCGGAGAGCCAGATGCGAAATCGGCATTGAGACTTAACCGCATGGGTATATCGACCAGATTGCTAGACATGTGTGATGCTACAGCGTCGCAAAATGTTAAGGCGATGCATTAGTATACCATACCATTCTTATCACACCAAAGCCTTGAGAGATGGCTGTGTTTGATAAGGATACAACAATCTTGGTACTATCCGCTGTTGCGCAAGACCAGGCCCCTCACACCATCATCATCAAAGGGTTGGTAGCATTGCCTGAGGTGGTGAGAAGGTCAACTTCGATTTGCCTGCAACAAGCTCGACCGGCTGATGACAGAGCGCAATCGTAGATGATTACGCCGGTACCTATGATGAGGCGCCCCCCGTGAAGGGCCCATAATGTCAACAGCGCCAGTGACATGAAGTACGACAAGATCGACCGGGCCAAGATGTGAGGGCAAGCGAGCCGCAATTCTCATCTGCAGAGCCTGACTGCTGTACGAAAGGATGATCTCGATATACTCTGCTGACGAAGTGGTGGTGATG